AAATTGATTTATATAAAAAAAGTTCTTTTGAAAAAAATGTTAGTTTGGGCCCTTTCTACTGCAAAGCTCTCATATATACTATTTTAGGGCATGATTTTTGAAATAACGCTCATGAGTGTTATTACTCACCACATTTATCTCTAATAAAATCATTCCTGACTTTTAAATATTTGGATCCTTGAACAAATATACATGAAAATGAAATTCACTATCATTTTTGACATTATTCAGATGTAACAAGTCATAACACAATTCTACAAGAACAGAACAACATTTTACAGAAATATAGATTTTTTTAATAATTTATTAATCATCTAATGGCTCATAGATGTGAATCAACTATGCAAAGATACCATCAACAGTCTCGGAGCTCAACATCAAGACAGAAGTAGTGTTTTAACCCGTCTAAAAAACCATGACCTGAGTAGACGATAGCCTACCCTACTTAATGTCAAAGATATCGATATAATTATCGATTATATAAAACGTAATAGTAATTAGTTAAATATATAAGCCTACGATACTAAACTGTCTTAGTATTAAAAAAAAAAACATATGTACATATGTACTATAAAATGTTTGAATAAACAATTTCTTTTTTGGGGTTGCTTAAAGCCAGGTACATCACAAAATTGTCCGATAATTGACGATCATTGGACAATCACAGGATACATTTGTGTTTGTTTACATTTTGGTATAATGTTGGTACCAACGTTGGTACCAACATTAATACCAACATGAGGTTAATAGATCAATTGTATAGCATAATTTGTTAATACTGTAATAAAATTAATAAAATAGGTTTAAAAAACTGTGCAAACTCAATTACTATTTTTCTTCACTTCATTTTGTGTATTTTGTTTTTCATGTATTCTGTTCGTACAAAGTTTATTAACATTTGCATAGTATTGATATTAATGTTCGTACGAACGTTGATGTTAATGTTTGTAAGAACGTTGATGTTAACGTTTTATATGAACGTTGATGTTAACGTTCGTATGAACGTTGATGTTAACATTTGTATGAACGTTGATGTTAACGTTTGTATGAACGTTAATGTTAACGTTTGTACGAACGTTGATGCTAACGTTTGAATGTTGATGTTAACATTTATACGAACGTTGATGTTAACGTTCATATGAATATTGATGTTAACGTTTGTACGAACGTTGATGTTAACGTTCGTATGAACGTTGATGTTAACATTCAAATGAATGTTGATGTTAACGTTTGAATGAACGTTGATGTTAACGTTTGTATGAATGTTGATGTTAACGTTCATATGAACGTTGATGTTATCGTTCATATAACGTTGATGTTAACGTTCGTACGAACGTTGATGTTGACAGTTAACGTTTGTATGAAGTTTATTAATGTTCATATGAACGTTGATGTTAACGTTCGTACGAATGTTGATATTAACATTTATATGAACGTTGGTGTTAACAGTTAATGTTTGTACGAACGTTGATGTTAACAGTTAACATTGTACAAACATTGATGTTAGCAGTTAACATTTGTACGAAGTTTATTAACATTTGTATGAACTTTGATGTTAACGTTCGTATGAATGTTGATGTTAATGTTTGTGCGAATGTTGATGTTAATGTTTGTATGAATGTTAATATTAACGTTAATATTAATGTTTATATGAACGTTAATATCAACGTTCATACGAATGTTAATATTAACATTTGCAATATCAGCGTTCATATTAATGTTTGCAATATCAGCGTTCATATTAACGTTTGCATGAACGTTTACATCATTTTGTAATTGCAAATCGAGATATATCATTCCAAATAAAGTAACTTCTAGAGAATAGTTGCTTAATCAAATTCAGTAATTTTTTTTATTTTAATTCTATAGTTTAGTAGAATTGAAATAAAAAAAGTTCATTGAATTATATTTAGTAGTTAGCGAGAAACCATCGCAAAAAGTTTTAAAAAAACTAAATTTTCTTTGAACTTTAAACGAAGATTTTTCGACAACCTGCTAACCGAATTTGATGAAAAAAAAAATTATTTTAATTCTATGAATTCATATAATTAATATAAAAAAAAATTTGTTGAATTTGGATAGCTGGTTATCGAGAAATATCCATTAGAAGTTAAAAAAAAATTTGGCTGCAGCTCTTTTTTTATGGACGACTAAACTTTGAACGAAGATTACTCGGCACCTACCTGATCAAATTTGCTCAAAATTTTTTTATTTAATTCAATGAATATATAGAATTAAACCGAAAAAAAGTTTTATCGAATTTGATAAGGTAAATACTGAGTAATCTTAATTCAAAGTTTAGGCGTCCATAAAAAAAGAGCTGCGGCCAAGTTTTTTTTTTAACTTCTAATGAATATTTCTCGATAACCAGCTATCCAAATCCAATCAAATTTTTTTATTTTGATTATATGAATTCGTAGAATTAAAATAAATTTTGTTTCATCGAATTCGGTTAGCAGGTTGTCGAAAAATCTTCGTTTAAAGTTCAAAGAAAGAAAATTTCACCCGATTTGTTTTTTTTCAAAGATATTTCAAGTTTTTTAAAACTTTTAGCGATGGTTTTTCGCTAACTACTAAATATTCAATGGGGGTTTTTTATTTCAATCCTACTAAACTATATAATTAAAATAAAAAAAAATTACCGAATTTTATCAAGCAGCTATTGAGAAATATTCACTAGAAGTTTAAAAAAAACACTTCGTTTAGAATGATATATCTCGTGATTTTCCGATGATCATCGGGCAATTTCGTGATGTACCTGGCTTTAAGCGACCCCCTTTTTTGAGTATTAATCTCCACTTGATTGTATGTATTCCTTCCACCCAGGTCGCAGAACTCTATTAAATATTATCTAATCGATTGCATTAAGTTGAAGCTCTTTAATATATTCATATTTTTGTCCACCCTTGTACTGTAAATTTTTTGTATGATTGAAAATAAAACTTGCTACGTATTATATGTTCTAGTTGCACGATTTTTAATAAATTTGGTTTGAATTAATCAGCCAACTCGGGGGGACGTCTAAAGCGGAGGCAACTCATATTTATAACTTTTTCGATTAACTTTTAGGGTTAGGGGCATCCTATATTGTGGTTAGGTTTGGTTTTAGGTAGTTATATATATGCAAAATTGCCTTCCCGACACTTTTGCTTAACTTGTTTTGCTTCGCTGGCGATCATCAAAAGTCTGTGATTTGATTGGCTGAAGATCACATGATTTGCCTCCGCTTTAGACGTCCCCCAACTCGGGAACCTTTTTGATATTTAACCAGTAATTTAAAAGTAAAATACTGAGATAGCAAAAGTGCTAATAAAGATATTTTATATGTAATACATATCACGCATCTTTTTTGATGTTTACAAAAATTATTAAGTTTTTCAAAAATGTGCCCGAAGTGGATGTATTCTAGTTTCAACAGTAGGTGAAAAACTAAATGAAGAATACTAGCAATATAGTGTAAATGGAGGATCTCTTTTTAGAATATTTAGAGGTTTTTTTTTTTTGAATTGCATACAGTATATCGTTGAAAATATATAAAGCTAACCTTTTTTCTTACAGTATAATAAATAAAGAATAGGTATCAATGCTTCGAATACAAAGTTGATATATATTAATAAAAGATTTAATTTACAGTATCTTTATTAAATTATTCGATTGAAGACAATTGTTATATATAGAAGCAATTAACATGTTACACTTTCATTTCGCTATTTTTAAAAGGATATATATACGTATTTATTTCTATCACGCAACAATGCGTGACGCAAACCAATAAAAAAAATTCATAAAGTTCGATTTTTTACGATCACGAGGAAATCTATTGTATAATCAGATGAATGAAATAGAATGTCAGAATTTTTCTACAGTACGAACTTGACAGAAAACTGGACATATAATAAAATAACCGAACATTATCAAAAGGAATCTAAAAATATTGAAGGAGAACGTTAAATTGTATAAGATCTTCAGAATGTGATGATTTTTTTGATGATGTATGCAGAAACAAAGCCCAGAAAATTCTTAATTAATCGATGAAAAGGTAAAAGTAAAAAAATATTTTTAAGATAAAGAGTGGGTGTGAATTTTTATTAGAATGGATACGACAATTCAAAAACTTAGTCCAGCAGTTATGAACTATTAGTTCGACACTAAGTGCAAGTTGAGTCTGCCACCAGCTATGAACTGCTAGTTCGATACTTAGTGTAAGCTGGGTCTGTTAACCTGAAGGATAGCTACCTATGACTGTATGAGTAGATATAATCAATGCTCAGTAAATATAATTTCATCTTTTTAAACAGACCGACTCCAATAAGCTTATTAACATTTATTGCTTTACATTTATTGTCGAAACAATATGAGACTACGTAGTCACGTAAAATGAATATTGCAAGTTCAACATAAATTGAAATTCTATTAAATATACATCTAAGGTGTACAATCTAGAAAAGTACTTTACAAAAGCAGTAATAATGATCACTTCAAAACTTATTCTAATATTTTACAAGTCTTGTGCATTCTGTCTTGAAACATTTTTTAAACAGTCTGATAAAAATTTCAAAGTGGGCAGGTCAATTTCGCTAACGTCCAAATATTTAATAAATTCCCTTTGTTTAAGTGTATTATTGATTATACGACCATTGACAGGTTTATCAGCACCGGAATCTACGTTAGCGCCAGTCATGATAAACCTAAGATATTGTTTCACTTTGCTATATTTAAAGGATGTTATTTAGTTTTTTTTCTTTAATTAAAAACTTAAAAACGAGAAAGTCACACATATTACCTTAACCATTCTTCCTTAAACATCTCTAATCGCATATTCATCAGTTCAGGAGACAAATTAAAGTTCAATATTTCTGATAATTGGTTGATGTATAAATTAGACGGTAAATAATTTCCGTTAACATTCACAACCCCAATGGTAAGTTCATCGATGCCGTTTTCTAAGTTGAATTTAATTGTTTTATTGACATCTTGTTCATCTTGGGATGGAATCTCATATGAGAAATGTATGTAAACTGTTAAGGAATTATATATTCTATATAATTTCAAGTTGTGAGCATAACAATGGCTAACAGATAACAAAGGATATCCAATAAACAAAACGTCGATCTATCCACTTCTTTAGGTATTTGTGTGGCTGGAGGTATACACAATATATTACATTTTGTTAATGGTTGGTAGTCAATTCCATTTTCAATTACCGAACAACCATTTAATACTAAATCCTAATAAAAAAGATACGTTAATTAATAATAATAATATTATTATTACTACAGGAAGCTATTAATATATGCATAATTTTACCTTAATAATTGAAACAATAGATCTCATGATCTTCGAATCTGAACCACGAATGATTAATTGATTTCCTCTAATAAAATTTAAAACCAATTTTCTAAAGCTCTCAATACCCAACATATTTTGCAAAGACTTCAAATTTTCAATAGGAGTATTTAATTCCTCAGTTGAATTAAAAGGAATTTTTTTATTCACACCATTCACGACAGGAAATACTGAATTTTGTGAGAGGAAAGATGTATTTTGGAACTAATGATAAAATTTATAAGTAAATTAATTAATTGAGAATGCGATCTTTTTATTCAATTAAATATATATTATAAATTTACCAATGTCTGATCATTTGTATGCCTTTCTTGCAAGCGTCTGCCACAAGCTTTCAATATCCAACTGAAATTAGCGTGAATATAAACAAACAAATCCTATTTAATAAACAAGATTAAAAAAATGAATAAATAAAATGCGAACATTTAATAACAATAACAATAACAATAATAATAACAATAACAATAATAATAACAATAACAATAATAATAACCTTTGTTCTTAGTAATTCCGCTAATGATCTCAATGGTTGGTTCGTTCTGCGCCTAAGAAATTGATCTTTCAAAAAATTACAATAACATAAGCCACTTGTACTAGTTGAACATGTTACGTTTCATTTATACTGAATATGGTAGTATGAACCTGGTGACGAAGGAGAAAGTGGACCAGTACGAGAAAACGTATCACCATATCTACTTTCACGTGCGGTATTTTCTCTCTCAAATATTTGATTAGCCTTTGATTGAAGATCAGTCGCCAATGATTTAAATTTACTAAAAAAAAAAAAAATTTATATAGATTAATCTGATTGTTAAATATAAGATTTTAAAAAAATAAGATTTAGAAATATATTACCTAACAAGGAATGGCCAAGAAGCAACCAAGTATATACGATCTGTCATCAAGAAAATAAAACTGTACCACCGCTGAAATCCTCTAGCCTGACTATCCTTAATTTTAAACATATAACTAAGGACATAACCATTCTTCTCATCACCAAATAATACAGGACCCTCTCTCCCTTGGCAAAATTCACAGCTTAAGCTATATATTGATTAAATATTATATAATAGGTTTCATACCATTAATTTTATCATCAATCTATCAATAATTGAAAAAGTTAATCAATTAAATATTACCTTCTAACACATGCTTGTCGTACCGCAGAATATAACTGCGGATGTTGTGGATATCGAGAACCAACATAAGTGATCAAAGGGTTTTCGTCATCCTCAGTTTTAAAACCTTTTTTTTCAGAATAGTTAACCACTTTTATATCACCTAAAGTATCAGGTGGTGGTAAAGAAAATGCGCAAGAAGCACAAGAAGCTGGCGCTGATCTATTAGCATTTGATAACTCCTTATTTGAAAGAGTTCCATTTTCTTTTTCAGTGATATTTCGGGCAGGAACAGGAGAACTTCTGCCATTGCTTGCGGAAAAACATTCGTCAACGTCTTCCGCAGCGTTATCATGAAAAGCCTGTGTACAAAATATTACGCTAGGGCCGTCAGCGTCGCAAAAGTGTACGAGAGACACGATTGCATTCATGTTTCATATGGTAAACGTTGTAAACGCGAGGTTTTTATAGAATTTTCACATGAATGAAATGAATAAAGTGTAAACAATAAATCACAAGGGTACCTGATAAGGTTAACATTTAGCGTTAGATCTCAAACATCTTAACATTTATGGAAGTTTGAAGTCTTTTGACAATTTTTGCCATTTCCTAATGTGTCCATTCAAAAATGACACATGAAACCGAAACGCCCTAATGTTGACGTTAATGGTAATACTCCAATAATACTCGGATTTTATTTCAATATCAGCAGGAACAATCCGCAGTTAAAAGATCTACGGCGGGATTTACGTTAATCCTTAGCAGTTAGAAAGTAGTTAGAAGAAGGATTTTTTTTCTTCTGTTTTATTACAGTACCTACAGTAATTACAGTACTTAATTACAGGATTATTAACATTTCGAATCTTTCTAACAATCATTTAATCTTTTAATAAAATACTGTATTATTATTAAAATTAAAATTTATCATTAAATTTATTAAAATTGTTAAAATTTATTAATTATTTTTAAATTTTAACATATCTGATACAGTATTAGACTAGCTACTTTAATATTGTAATTATTTATTTATTTTTTATTTTAAGTTTTTTTTGAAAAAAATTTTGGCAAATTAGATCTTAAAAGCAACTCTGTATATCATATAACTAAACTATATATATTAGAATTATTGTAATATTTGAATATATAGTACAAAATTAGACTCTTTAGAGTTTAGTAAGTCCATATTCTGTAAAGTAAAAAATACTTAAAAATATAGGATTATATCATAAATGGACGTATACAAGACCTGAGTCTACTACGTACGTACGTACGTACGTATACTTCAATTTTAAAACCATGAAGTACACGGCTGAGAGGTTATCGTTACCGTGAAAAATCATTAATAGACCCCTGATATAGTACACGGCTGAGAGATTATATCGTGAAAAGGAAGTGAACATACATTTTGCATTTATAATAGACAGTCTAGCTGTTGGAAAAATAAACCTGCATTGATTAATAAGGTTCGGATCTATTCTACTATCGAAGATGATCTTATACACCCATTTATGGTAGTCACCCGTTTGGTAACCCTAATGTGTTATAATTTAATTTTAGTGATGATCATATACGTAGCGTAGTACAGTTTTAAAACCAATTGGATGTCTTCAAGTTATTCACAATAATCAGTTATATTAATAACGTAATCACTGATCCGAAATTTGGAAATTATAGCGATCGATATACAACACAAAAATTAAATAAATGATTATATAAGATAAATTAAATAGTTTCGTTTTTCAAAATGAAATTTTTTATTACGCGATGATATTTACAAATTGTTCGTGCAACATTTTTTTTCTAAATAATCGATAGTACAGCACAAAGTGTTTGCTTTTTTCGGTCTGATTTTTTCTTTTTTTTTTTTCTTTCTTTTTCCTCTTTATTTTTTTTTTTTGTTCTTTTTTTTTGTTTTTTATTTTCTTTTGTCCCATTCTTTTTTGTTGGTTTTTTTTTTGGTTTTTTTTTTTTTAACATCTACAAAGTTTTGTTTTTTCCCGCAAATAAGTAGAAAATGAAAGAAATAAAGTAAAAGACATAAATCAGATTACCGATAAAAAAAAAATCTAGCACGGATCAAATCAATTATTAAACGGTATATAATCAAATCCTGCTGCGAATTCATCAACTTTCTCCCCTTTATCATTAAGGCGATGTTTTGTCGCCCGCTCTGCAACTGTCTCATCATTCTCCCTTGAACGTTTTCCAGCATCTTTAGTTTCTGTTAATGAATTATCATCACTAAGTCGCTCCGTGTTAAATCGACTCCAGTTATGTTTGTTTTTACAATTTAATCCTTGTTCGCAATACTTATCCTGAACGAATGCTCGACACAGAGGAGCATTATCATTTACATGAACATGAATGTATCGACATTCCGGATTATAACAATATCCATATTGAAAATGACAGCAATGAGGCACCACATGTGGTGATAATTTATGCTGACGGTGACATTTATCGTTTAATTTACAAGTTCCATCTTTAAGCCAGTCTTTACATACTGCAACTCTAGCTGGATCATGCTTATTGCGACAAGAGTTTTTATACTTGCATAGTCCTAATTGTATATAGTACGTATAAAGAAAAATGAGCTCCAAACTTTTTAGTGTCTTGCGGTCCACATATTTGTGCAACACCGTTTAACATGTGTTATTTCAAGGAAATAGCTCTAGCCCATTTATTTGGCTTACCATATTTTTGATAATATTCACAATATTTATCAGTCTTGTTTTTCATCCTAGAAATATTAAATAGAAAAAGAAAAAAAAAAAATTTTTATAAATTAGTGCTTTCATCAATTGAATTTAGATATCTATATAATAAATATCCATTTTTTTTATGCCATTATAAAGGCAGTTTGTCGATAACATGTTTAAAATCCATCGTACGAATCCGACATTCTTACTGTGCAGAGCCTTGCTTCTTTGTCGTGATAATATCTGTTCGAACGTACTTGTGAGGTGAAATATACTTGAAATTCGACTTTAAAAGGGTATTGGCATTTTGTGACTTAAAGGGTGTTTTAGCCAAAGGAAAAATCGTTCTGTGTTTAGATTTAAGTAATGGAATCTTGCGAGTCGCTTGAGATGTCGGTGGATGTGCAGGTCGCCTCTTAATGACATCCCTGTGAATCATTTGATTATGCTTGACTTGTATATAATCATTAGTGTTGCGCTGGCCATTTAGTAAATACGCCATTATATTGTGTGCTGCGAGCTATTTGATTTTAAAAGTAGAAAGTAAAAAGGTTATTTTTCAACGAACTTTAAAAATATGCTCTTGATTAAAGAGCTCATTGTGGTATAACATTTTCTAGTGAAGTTAACAGTCGCCTTATGGCAATGTTTACTCTTACTGTAGAACTTCGTTATATTCAAATAAGGTAAGCGAGAAAATAAAAAAATTTTTAAGCTGTTCTTATTACTTACAGTGTTAAGTAACGTTTTTGCCTGTGAAAATCTGTACCAGTATGTATATAAAAAAAATGGTTGTAGGGGAGAGTGAAAAAAATTTTATATAATACAAACACCAAGTTATCAACATAAATCGGTTACACTAGCTTACAGAGTTGCACTATCAGTGCGTATCTGCAAATAGACGAGCGAATTGCATAAATGAAAGTTTGAGTAACGCCCCTGAAATTCGATTCTTTATTTAGTGTTAGCTGGTACAATTACAGTATCGTTATTAATTGTTTTTATACATATATAAAATTTGCCGGTTATTGGTAGAATATATATAGTTAGTGTTAGATTAAAGTTTATATATGTATTTATAATTATAATATTTGTAATATTTGTTAATAAAGTATTAAGTGTTTATTAAATACAAGATATATATATACAGTATATATATATATTGAAATATAATTACAGGTATTTACTGTATATATATACTTATTTATTTATAAAAAATCTAAAAATATAAAATTAAATATTTGAAAAGTAAAAATAATTTTTTTAAAAATTTTATTAACAATTATTATTAAAATTAATAAAATTAAAGTTAAACATAAAAAATATTTTTTGTTAGTTATATAGTATAACAAAAATTACTTTAGTAAAATTTTGATATTAAAAAAAAAGCACAAAGTATATAGAGCGCTAACTAGTCTTTTTATATTATATAAAATATTAATAAAAATAAAAAAATACTATATTTTAAATAATTTTTTTTATTGATTAAATATGTTTTAAAATACAGTATACATGAATATACTGTATTTAATTTAATAAATTGAATTTGAAAATACTATTTTTTAATATTTTATATATATTTAAAAAAAGTTTAATAGCTTTAAAGATTATTTTAATTTAGAAATTTAATAGTAATTTATATATTTTTTTAAAAAAAAACAGTTGAAAAGTATTAAAATAAACAGTAGTATAGTAAGATTACAAGATTATTAAAAAATTTTTTTAATAATTTTATTATTATTAATATATATATTAAAAAAATTTTTTTGATTTTTTTGATTTTTTACGAGTGCGTCTAAACCTCATCAGGAAATTTTAAATAGGGTGGATCAATCGATTTCAGTCAAAGCGATTCTAATCGATTTTAACTAGCAGCTTTGTTGTCAATCGATTCTAATTAGTATCGCTGGTAATCGGCAGGGATGCTGCTTATTGATTGACATTTCTTTCAGTCAATCGATTGCCAACTAGAGTTGCCTGCCGTAATTGTTTTTAACAAGTTGTAATATTACAACCTATATGTCGTAATATTGCAACCTATATGTCGTAAATGTTGTAATTAATTACGGCAGGCAACTCTATTGCCAACCAATTTAAAATTTTCCTGATGCTAATACATAAGCCTAAATCCAATCCATTAAAAATAAATAAATATCATTGCAAAAAATTATTGGCTCTAGCCCAAGATCACTAATACCCAACTGATAAACTGCTAAATGCCGGTCTAGCTCCGACCCGAAATTTTGGGATCCTCCTGTATAAATTATATTTTTTCAAAATTTGATTTGAAGATCAAGAATTTAATTTTGTACGACTAAATTTAGAAAATATAAATAGCTCACTTTATATTAATTATTTTGCATTATAAAAGAAAATAGAACTATTTAGTCTACTTGTTATTGCCTTGATGGATAAGTGAACTGAATTACCTTCATTAATGAAAATTATTTGATGCGACATTACTGCGAAAATACTTTACAAATAAGATATATAAAACTCTCGATTATAAAAAATAATCTGTATGGATAATTTACCAAAAATGATCAATGCTTTGGCATATGCTATAATATTTTTGCCAAAGGACTAATTACAAATGAGAATGAAAATTAAAACCTGCATTTACTAAAATACAGTAAAAAAAAAAAAATTTTTTTTTTTTGCCTGTAGCAACTATATACTCTCTGTGATAATAGTAATAGGTTCTATTTCTTTCTTCTCCTCCTCCTCCTTAGCATCCTGAACATCTATTTTCAATTTAGCCATATCTTCTGCTGAATATTGTTGCGAATGCGACTTTGACATTCTTTTGAATTGTTTAACAGCACGGTGCTATAAAATTTAAAAGTTACTAAATAAATTAAATAATTTTTTTTTTTGTTTAACAATCTGAAATTTTTAGCGTACCACAGCAATAACACCTCTAAAACTTAAGCATTTAATTGCAGAACTTAATTCATCTTCTGTAATTTCGGTGACAAGTTCGCTACAATTTTCTTCAGTTGATATGAGAGGATCGTTTTCACGATTAGTTACCCATGGATGTTTCTTTTGATAAACAAAAAAAAAAAAAGTCAATCTACTGTATATATAGGCACAACTAAAGAAACAAATAATAACTAACTCTGAGATCGGCCATAATAATTCTTTTCTCTGGATTTTTTTCAAGAATTTTATGAAGAAGATCCACAACGTCTGGATCCGGATTCGAACCTTCTGGAATAGTAATACTAATAATGTACAACAGCGAAAAAGTAATCGTTACAGTTATGTTGGATTAAATTTAAAAAAATATTTTTAGATAAATGAAAACTAACTCGTCACTTTTTATCGATTCAAATAAGTCAACTACGTTATCTTTCACGAAAGGCAAACGTCCAAAAATAAGACAATACAAAGTCACGCCCATAGACCAAATATCTGCAGCCTTTCCGGAAATTTCACCACGATTGGCTAAAAATAATTATAAGTAATTAGTCCAAGTATAATTATGTGCTAGCTTTGCTATGATAAATATGTATAAGCAAATCTTTATTATTGTTTACCCACGCATAATTCCTGTGAACAGGTATATAAAAATAATTATTAGTTTAGGAAAATTTATTAGCTGCTATTAATAATTATAAAGACTATTAAATAAAATGTTCCATAGTTAAAATGACATTACCGGTGCCATAAAAGCCGGACTACCAGCAGATTTTTTCATTTTATCATTCCCTTGAGTAAACATCTCAGATACACCAAAATCTACAATCTTGAGGACACCTTCTGCAGACAAGAGAAGATTATCGGGCTTGATATCTGAATCAAATAAATTGAATAAAATCCATATAACTATTCATAATTTGCACCATAAAATCACTTCATAATGATTATATTTAATACCGCGATGAACAATGTCATGTTCGTGTACTATTTAATCGTAAAGTATAAAAAAAAAAAGATGAAATTGGACATAAATCATGAGATTAACCTCAAAAGTTAGATCATACGTATGAGAATTACATCTTAAATAATAATACTTACAATACTCGAATCCAAGTATCATTTGTCTAAAATAACGTCTAGTATCCTCGTTAGAGAATGGCGTCGTTGCTTTCTGAATGCTGATATCCATAAGAACACCTTTTTCACAAATTTCGAAAACTGTAATAATTATAATTATTATAAGTCTAATTAACCGAAAGTAATTCTAAATTTCACAACATAATTTATAAAAAAAAATTTTACCCATATATAAAGAATCCTGTTCATCATCCAACACTTCGAACAATTTGACCACATTTTGATGACTTAATTTTTTCAAGACTGCAATTTCGCCACGGATTAAAAAAAGGGGGTCCGTTGATGATGGATCAGGATTTTCAATAGCTTTACCAAAACGCCCACGATCGCGTCCACGCGGACGACGAAAGACGTTAGATTTGGTTTTTTTACGAAGCCGGGCTTTACTAAATTCTTTAATAGCCTTTTTTTTTTTTTTTTTGCATGCAAAGTGGTGAGGTAAAAGTAGATTATAAGGCAATTATAGTTAGTTTTGCATAAGAATGTTATCGCGATAGCTTGTTTATTATAGAATTATAAATTTCGACCCCGCTTGTAAATTAAAAGTCAGACTATAACGACATTCAATAACTTACAAATTTTTCTCCATTGTATTTGTCGACAGCTAAGGTGACCGTTCCAAAAGCACCCTGACCAATAATGTCTTTCAGGATATAGTTGTTTAAACAACGCTCGCCTTCTTTTGTTTCAGTGACCGTAGCGTCTAGGGTTTCCTTAACTTCATGGACCGATGAATCGCGTCGGTGAGTCATTCTTATTTTTATTTCAACTCGTCTTCATGTAAAGGCGGATAGTTTTCATTGAGAACTACATTGTAATACCAATGTCGATATATCTAAGTCAAAATTGCGCATGAGGGCACATAATAAAAATTTGTTTTTATTGGCTGATCAGCAAAGAATCTGACTGGTCAAAATCAAGCTTAGGTAAATTTTTAAACTACTGTAGTGCAATGATCAATAAAATTTTATTGCATATTTTGATGTTACAACTTTCCACTCTGAAACGTATGCTTGTGACTTTCTTAGAAGAATTTAAGCGGGCGAGACAATCTTGGAATGATCTCAATGATGAGGGTTTTACTCTAGCAAACACATTAGTCAATACAAAATTGCAAGAACGGTATATACCAATTTCTAACTTGTAGTAAACATACGATTTACGAAATATTATAACTTTATCGTTATATCGAGTATAGGATTACAAACAATCCATCGGATTGCTCACCAGAGTCAAATGATTTCATATGCTTAAATGATGATCATAATATTCTTGATGACAAAGTTGCCATCTTGAAAGAATCGCTTCAACAAATCGTCGAAAAAATGGTAAAATTTAGAACTTTTTTTTTTTAAATATAATATATTACATGAAGTTATTTTTTCATATTTTCATTTTCATAAATAAAACCCCATAGCAAAAGGGGATGGGCCAAAAAATTAAATATTTTAATTTTATAATAATTTATCCTAATCAATCTAATTCTTCAAGATATTTAATTTTTTTAGAAAAAAATTTTTTGGCCCTCCTTCTTTTTACTATGAGAGGCCCCAAATATATAATTTATAAATAGGCAAAACAACTTACAAAAATGAAAATGCAAATTCTTCAAATGGAATTTCTTCTTGAAGAAGCATGTGAAAGCATGGGTGAAGAATTTGTTTACAATAATCTATTATATTTATCATGTTCATTAGAAACATTTGGCAAGTTTATTTTTAATTATCAAATTGGTTTTCTTATATTAAATATACTGTAAATATAATTAATTATTTGATTTTTTTTTAAAATTTTTACTAGTTGAATTTTCTGTTATAATTTTTAATATGTTTACTCAAGAAATGGATCTTAAACAAAAAGTAATTTTATCTCTTGAATTAGAATTGGAAAAACAACAGTTTATAGTAATTTTATCAACTTGGTTAAATCAACTATATATTGATTTTGATAAAATAATAGAATTTGAAAATATTTGTAAAGTTGAAATTAAAAATAAAAAAGAAATTTAATTATTATATATAATATACAATAAATAAAATTAATATATTAAAGACATAGTTGATCATTTTTTCTAAATTTTTTCTAAAAACTTTTCTTAATAAATACATTATAACTAGTTGAAAAAGTATTAAGTAAAATAAGTCAAGGAACTACAGCACCTGTTATTTAGAGGTAGTTTTCATATGCTACCTGCTAACAGGTTTAGAGTTTATTACTCACTGTTGTAATGAGAGCACTTGTTATTTAGAAGTAGTTCTTATATACTACTTGCCGACAAGCTTAGAGTTTATCACTTACTCTTCAACATTCTTTAAGTACCCACCCTTCGCTTGGTTAACAAGTCCCTGATATACTTGGCAAGAAAAGTATATACACTCCTTTGGTTTGGAACTAGTGGTTTTTTTTCACCTCTACTACCTCTTGCCGACTTTACCAAAATTTTTAACAAAAAGTGGACAATCCAGCTTACCCCTTTCAAAAGATCGGTATTGTTTATATTTTCCATTTTTAGATAGATGAAGTAGGACATAAACACAAAATTGTTTTGACAATAATATACCTACACCACGTAATGAACCAATCGGCACTCTGGTTAATGAACTGCAAAGCTTTACAATAGAGATATACAAGATTTTTAAATTTAGTATATAATTTTTACAACTATGCCTAGCATGAGCTATAATAGTGTTTTCATAGATTGTTTTTTTTTTTGCCTTTTTCTTCTTGTTTTACTTTTTTTTTTTTTGCTCGTTTTCTTATTGCTTAGGAAGTTTTTTTTTTTCCCTCTTTCGTGTTGTTCTCTTTATCTTTAGTGTTAGTGTTTTTTTTTTTATAAATCAGTTGGAGACTATGAATCCTTCTGCTCATAAAGCTAGGGGAAGAGGGTTTAGAAAAAATAGCAGTCTTGATAGGCCGTAAATACTATTCGGTAATATATCGGAGAATTTACTTGCAATGTTTTTTTGAAATTGAGATAAACTTTACTATAGCAAATCGAATATAAGTGATTTGGGCACTTTGGTGTTATAATAAACCGGGTTAGCCAAAACTTGTAACTTAGATGGTGCTTTAGTTTATTTTAGCAAAAATGATATTTTACCTGTAAGTTAAATATTTTAGCCTAATAAAGTTGAGACAAGATTGCCAAATTCATAAAAAAAAAAAATATTAAAAACATAGTTGTGGTATTTTTCATCTATAATACTACATATCTATATTTGCTTTTTTATATTACAAAAACAAAAGATTTATACACTTGATCATATTATTAAATCTGTATTCCTTTGTGACAAAACATGAGTAATATATGTTATTTGCAAATTTGAAAACAATCAAGTTTAAATAAGATATTTAATTGATGATCTGTCACTCAACAGAAGAATTTTCTATATTAGGATATGACACAGATTACATATAGGCAAGCCCAAATTGAAATTTTTACATTATAAGTAAAGTCTTTAAATTTTTTAGTAAATATAGTAATAAAGTAGTACAAGCAATAGAACGATATCAAAAGCTTCAAATTATAAAATTATTAAGTATTGATGCTTTTTTTTTTGGTTGACTTTACCTTGGATTAATGCGGCATTCACTATGATAAGCTTCATATTAATTAGATTACTAATATTTTTGATTTTACTAGTCTTCAAACTCCTAAACTACCAAAATCTGCTTTTGCATAATACTCACACTAGATCTAACTTTGATTCATTTAACTTCACTATTACGTACTGTAGTAACAATGATCTTTGTACTTACAGGTATTACATAATAGTAGATAAGCATTTATGTTCTTGGCTTGTAAGCTTAACTTGTTTAATTTATATTTATAGGATGTTTTCAATATAATACATAACTCAACACTCTTTTCTTGTACAAAATATAAAACTACAATAAAATATTTGAAGTGCAGCCGACAAATGAAAAAAAAGAAAATTTGCAATCATATAGAATTAATAGTATGTGGTAGAATGTTGCACTTAAAAGTGATTCGTGATTCAAACCAAAAAATATACAAGGATTTAACTAGCGTTTGAGTGAAATTGGATAAAAGAATCCTTCTTTCTTGAACTATTTTTGAATGTCAAGAAAAATTATAGTTAATACTTTGCAATAAAAAAAAGTTCATTATGACAAACCCCATACAAGTATCACAATTAGAATGAAAAAATATGAGTTATTATATTGTATAGTGAGTCAATTTATTCGCAAAAACTCATTCACAGAGATTTGCATAGTAAAAATATTTTACAAAAAGCTTTAAGTAACGCATATGTCTCTGATCTTGGACTTTGCTAGAAAAGTAAAAGAGAGATGTTTTACCATATATAACACCTGAGAGTCAGCCATATACTTGGGCATAAGATATTTACAGTTTTGGAGTTATTGCAGCTGAGATATTTTTAGCAATGTTTGGAAAATAGTGGAGTCTTTGTTTTGTAGAATTTTTTTTTTCAAGATTTCAACTAGACAAAGAGCATATGTAATCTTTATAATTAAGAAAGGTAAAAATTTTCCAATTCTTAAGACATAGAATAATTTCTAATAAAGAAGCAACTAACATTACTTTCTGTTTTAATGATCAAGCTATCCTACGTTAGTGTCTGCTATCAAAATGAAATGGAGTGAAAAGAATAAACATAAGGCATTCATTTATTCTCAAAAACCTGAAAAGATGGATCCTGCAAGAAGAATGTCATGAGTTACAGTGTTATCGAAATGGAATTAGAATAACAAGGGATTTATATAAAACAAACTACTAGTATCAAAAGTAAATTTTGTATTAATTAGATTTTAATTTTTCCTATTTTTTCTATTAATTTTTTTTAATTTCACTAGTTTCTAAACCTTAAACTAATAAGATCGCTCTGGTACAATACTTTCTAATTTTATAGGCTAAATAAAATCAATACAATGATACGATTTGAAGGTATTATATAAAGGTAAATAAGCATTTATACCCTTGGCTTATAAGCTTAACTTGCTAACTTTAATTTATTTAATTTCATATATATGGGCTGCCGTCAATAGAAATCAGGCAGATCGACATTTTTAAAAAAATCTATACCTCAAATTTCACAGCTCATATAT